CCCCCCTTCTTTTCACCTCAGTTTAACTCTGTTCTTTTTTCTCAACTGTTTTTATTGCTAAAGTTCAGCTTTGCATGGGCCGCCTCTGTTTTACAAGCTGCTTTGTTTGTCATCTGGCAGCAGCAGTGGTGACCTGAAACGCTCTGGAGTCGCTATCGCCCCTCATTTGTATGTTAGCAGGGAGCGCTGTGATCACATGACGTGACTGCAGCATCAGGCTAGACTAAATCCAGTGGTTTAACATTTGACTGTTATCACCTCAGTAGGGTGACGGGATGCTGCTTTTAGACTGTTTTGTTGGGTGTCTTTGAGCTTTAGAGTCACTGCTGGGCGAAACATGACATTTAAAGACATCATAATAAGGTCGACCCTGTTATTGTTGGGTCTACATTACAATATAAAGCACCCTGAGGTGACTGTTGTTGTGATTTGGTGCTATATAAATAAAGTTGAATTGAATCAGGCTGGAATAGTCGTCCTCGCTTTTCTGACTTTTTAATGTAGTGCTGTGGAATTGTTTCAGTGTATTCATTCATTCAGTCTAAATCGCCGCACACCAGACTGTGCCAAGGTTAGATCAGAGAATTATAATCAAAGTTACTGGAAATTCACTTAATCATCAATATTTTTTTTTCTTTTGTCAGTTTAATAAATCTCCTTTTTTCATTACTGTGATTTTAATATTGATCAAAATCAATGTGATTGGTGGGTTTTTGCCATATTTAAGCTGCCCTACATTTGTTAATTTCATTTATGTGACTTTTTTTTTTTTTTTTTTGGTTTAATTATTAATCTGATTATTTGTTAATATTAGCAAAAGATCTGAATCATTGAATCATTAAATGTAGGAAAGTTGTTAGTTTAGAATGACTGGGGAAATGAAACAAGTGATTCTAAATAAGAAGCAACAGGTGACTAATGTTTTGATAATGATGTCACAAGTTTGATGGTTTGAACCTGAATGGGTTTTTGGATGATTGGAAACGATGAGAGCTGTATCAGTATTATGGGATGGGCCCAAGCAGTCACTGCTGAATTCTGATAGGTTTTTAAATCTAAGCTGATTTGGGAATGAAAATGCTAATTACCTGCATCCCACTGTAGTAGCTTGGAGCACCTGCACCAGTTGTAGCAGCAGGAGGACAGTGATGGAGTCGCACTAACTCCTGACTTCACTTATATATGCGTCTACAACTGAAAAGGGCCTTCAGTTTTCTTTCACTTGGAACTTGTAAAACAAATTTGGTATGAACATCTCGTGCATTTATGTATTTATACTGGTTCATAATGTGGTTTCAGACAGGTTGTTTGTGTCTGTCTGTAAAGTTGGTACCATTTACCTCTAATTTATTTTATTGTCTTTTATAGTGAGTTGAGCCTAGTGTTTATATACAAATCCCAAGTTTCTTTGGGTGTTGCTTAACAATTCCAGTTACACTCAACAGTGTTACAGTAATGCACAAACCTTTCCTAATATGGCAACATCCCACTATAGTCCACCTGTTGAGTGACGTAGAGACCCCCAAGGCGGCTGCGTCACCGGTCTCATTCTTTCATTCATCCAGAGCGTGAGTAGCTCTCTCGGATGACGGTTATTAGCGGTGAGGCGCCGTTATGGCTGCATGCAGTCACATGCCCACGGCCATCAGGCTGTGATGTTGCAGAAGAGCCAAGCAGGTAGAGACGTGTGTGTCTGTTTCCTGTGAAAGGGAGAGTGTATACAAGAGGGGGTTTTTTGTATTGCAGGCGTATCGGTTGTTTTTTGTCTGCTGGTAGTCGCCCCTGGCGTTCAGTCAGAGCGGGGAACAGATGGTCAATGGCTGTGTGACGCGGTCTATTGACTTTCTGACTCAGAGGCCGCTCCGTGCTGCAGTGGTAACATGGACCAACTGTGCAGTGTGACAAAATGTATTGATTCTCTGTGAAGTTTCGCACACAAACAAACTGCTTCCCTTGATATAAAAGCCTGTATTTAAATGCTCAGACCCAGACTGTTTTTAGCACCATGAGATGAGTGTCATAAAAATTTGAATGCACAGGAAGGGTGTTCCTCTGAGCTGGATTTAGAGTGGCGAAAGGAAGCGAAGCTGGCACCAGACGACGCGCTCGTTAGCCTTAGCTCAGTGTTTAATTGGCTGAAGGTGCTCCTTCTATTTGTGTCCCCTCCTCTCAGAGGTACGACTTGTGTTCCTGGAAAGCTGACAGGCAGACCGATCACTCAGACCTACAGCAAACATGGCCTCCGTTGCACCGTTCGGCCGCAGGCAGTGGGCATCCCAGTCGCTCAGGGTCACCGCCAAAGAGCTGTCAATCGTCTCTGCCCGGGGTAAAAACACCGCCATCGCAGAGCGCTTCTCCAAGTAAGTCCAACCTTAAGTTTAATAATTTACCAGCAGCCACTCAGCAGATCTGTCATGACTTTTTACACTTCAGAGTTCTCTGCTCTCGTCATGAGCACAAATTAGGTCAAAGGTTTCCTCTCAACGTTTTCTTGCCATTCAGCTTTTCTCAGTTTCCCGTTTTCTTGAAAGATGTGACTATCACATTGTCGACCTTAAACAAATTGCTCCAGTTTCACTCGTCCTGTCTGGTTTTCAGACTTTACAGAGTAAAACAGGATCAGATTCTTTATGGAGGCCCCTCACCATTCAGGGCATCCCCCTTTACCGCATATCAGGTGACTAACTTGGAAACTGAGACAATGCACAGTAGTTGATCAACTTGACCACTAGGTGATAGTAGTAGTCTGTCAGTGGGGAATATGCAGGTTTTTGTGTTTCTTCCTGATTAACATTAATGGTGTATTTAACACTTACTATGCACAAAAACAAACTTTTAAACCACTGAACTCTGCAGCCCTCTCACATCTAAAGACAGACCTTGCAGGGTCACTCTTTACAACAACCTCCTGAGATGGTTTTCCATCATGCTGCTGGTGTAAATTTACACGAAGAAAACTGCTGATCAGCTGAAATGGGAGAAGCTTTTGGTTAGAGCTGCCCTTTGTGTGTGTGTGCAGTGGGTCAAAAGAAAAATAAGACACTGTAGACACAGATCAGATAAGGAAGTGAGTGCATTTACCAGTTATTGACAGTCTTCACGCGAAAGAACTTCAGTATTTGCAAGAGCCATGACGACAAAAATGAACACAATCAGGGGTTGGCAGGTAAGAGAAACCTGAGATCTGCTCTGCAGCAGGCGGAGGAGACCCACTTGGAAATAAGTTCACCACCTGCCTCGATTTGAAAGCAAAAGTTCATATTACGTGAGCTATCCTATTATCTTGGCAGCTGGAAATGAAGAATGTCATCCAAATTAATTCTCTGGTGGCATTATCATTTCTCCATAAGTGGGCCTTTTATAAGTGTTTGCAGTGTCTCATCTATTTCCTCACCAAGTAGGAGTGGGAAAAACAAACCTGCATAACCAGCAATGTAAAATCTAGTCTTTAGTTTCTGTTAGCAAAACTTAAATATTCAGTGCAGGACTCAAGAGTCGGTCTTTAAAGCTGGCTGTTGTCCTCATTGATTAGATACAATGTCTCTTTTTGCTGTTGGCTCTGTGCAGAAACAGCGACATCTGGCTTAATAGTGTTAATGTTTCCTCAGCACAGCTGAGAGGCTTTGAGCCAAACATGATTTTTGTCTCCGGGTAAAAAAACACCTGTGAAGGACAGCAGTGGTTCAGCTACGAACTGCCCGTGTTTGTTGTCAGTTCGGGGCTAAAATGTGTGGTGCAGCCGGTCTGAGGCTGAAGATCTGAAGTGTTGAACAATAAAAAGTGTCCACTGTGGAGAATTTTGTATTTTTCATACCACATTTATTCATATTTGATGTTTTATTTGAACTTTCCCGGCGAAATCCGCTGCCACTGTCTTCCCTGTTCTAGCCTGCTTGTCAACAAATCAACTTTCACCTAACAACGAGTCACTTGTTAAAACGAGTCAGCAGCAGACACATTAATATAAGACAGAAATTAAGGACCATAATTCCCTTTTTTTTAACAGAGCAAATGATGAGAAGATGAAAATGATTAGTTTCACTAATTGTGTGATGATGTTTGCTCTGTTGTGGGTTATTAATTGATGGCTAATATTAATGTCACATACTTTTTGCTACCATCCACTAAATTCCTGCTGGTTATCAGGGTCCAGAAACAAAACAGGAAATGAATTTTCAATCAATTAAAATACTTTATCTTAAATAAAACCTGGCCAATAAAATCAGTTTCACTCTGAAACAATGTATCCACTTCCTCTGCGTACTTTTTGCAAGACGACACGTTTTTCCAAACAGTTTTACTTTAACACATTAACTAATTTATTGTTTTTGGAGAGAAGCGGGAACGTTTATTTATTTTTCTAACGAATTTCCTGGGAAGCGGTACTGCTTCTTCCTCACTGGGCCTCATCCTCTCAGTTATTGTTTATCTGAAGCAGTTTTTGTCCTCCACAGGTACCAGATGGCAGCAGAAGAGGGCAGCATAGAGAAGAAGAAAACGGTGCGTACGTTCAAACTCACTCCTGTATGTCTGTGAAGATTCGTTGCTTCCCAGCGGTGGAAGAAGTGTTTTCTATCATGGACACAATACTTGGCCTCAAGTTAAATTTCAGAATGAAAAACAAAGCGCTTCACCCTCTCCACCCTAGTACTCCCTGCACCAGAACCACCAGTATCTATTATTAAAACACAGCCTGCTGCCATGTTTAGACCTCAGTACCTGCTAATTAATGCTGCTGCTCGTTAACACAGACTCACAGAAGTCGAGCTCCATTCGGTGAGTCCAGTATCCCAAACATACCACATTTTTTAATCTGAAAAGCTTCGACGCTTTCTATTTTTAATTCACAGAGGGGGAAACTTCACCCATCAGCAGCATCTCATTCCCCATATTCATACGAGTATAAACTGTAGATAAACTACTGCGTAGACCCACATGCTCTGCTGCCAAACATCATTTCTTAACATTTTCCCGAAAACTATGTGGACATGCACAGACCAAACCCTCGTTCTCTCTCAGAATTTGGAGTTCAGTGACCTCACTTGCTCTTTGTTTACTCTGTTTCTGTGTGGAAATCTCGACTGTAGTAATGTGACTCATTCTGAAAGCTGATTAAAAGCCTTATTAAGGCAACTCCAGCTGTCAGCTAATAACAGAGCAGTTGAAAGGATAATATTTGGCCTTTCAAATGCAGTGTTAAAATATAAACCCTAAACTGCTCTCAGGCTGGCGGAGACTCAAATAACTGCTTGGAGACGTTAATCTTGGAAACATCTCCAGCATGCAGCAAGTTCCAGCAGTGAAATTATTCTGTTATCGCTTTTGGCATCAGCTGTTCTGCAGCACTGATAACAAGGAGCCTCCGTCACACCTGGTCAGCGTGGTGACTCGGGCCCTTTCCACACACGGGAAGCCTTTTTAGACTTTTGTTTCTTTTAAGTCATTGAAAATGAAGTAAAACAATTAAAAACCTTCTAAGAAACTAACTTTTTTTTTCTTGCAGCATCAGAGGTGTGTGTCTCTTTAGTGTAAGAGCATTTTCTGTAGTGGTGGATGTGAATCAAATATTGTTTTGCAGTTTTTACATGCTTTCTCACAAACGCACACGTGTTCGTGTTGTTGTTGTTGTAGTACCACCACACTGCCTGTCCGAACATCACTTCTTCCCCTCTCAGCTGTCTTAGTTGGCCTGATAATATTTTCTTGCTCGGCTTTGATGCTGCTGTCGTCATGATTTGTCCCTATATAAATAAAATAGAATTAAACTAGGCTTCTGATTGGCCAACATTTCTGTAAAGTTGGTTAAATCATCATCTGTTGCTTTGTCATTTTGTTTAGATGTGGATGGAGATATTTTTCACA